CAGTATATATGTATAGTTAAATTGAGAGAAAAATGCGAAGGCCGTGGGAGGTGGGTTTGCATGTCTATGTGCCATCCCTGTGCTGGTAGGTGGTGGTAGGTGTGCTGGATCTGTATGACAACAGTGTGCTCCTGGTAGCACACTGTTGTCATACAGATCAAAGGGTAAAGACTAGACTAGATTTGATTTCCAGGTTTCCGTACGTGAAAATCCGTAGGATTTACACTGCACATGCGCAGACAAAAATACGTGTGGTAGATAACCTTAAATTGTCCAGGTGCTTTCTTTTTAATACTGCTGATCCAACCTTGCGATTATCGGGGCAGGATGGGGCCGCTGTACGAAAATCGTACGACGGTTTGGTCATTGGACGAAAAGTTTTGTCCGATGATCGCAAGGTGTATGGGCAGCTTAGCCTCCCTGGCGGTATTCCTGAGTGTAGCTCGGGGTTACTTTTCCATACCATAAGCGGTAACCACGAGCTACACTCGGGATAGCATTTACTTACCTTGTCCCTCGAGCCGCGCTGTGTTCTCCGGCCGATGCCGGCATCCATCTTCCGGGTTCCATCCCTTGCGAGCGTACGCGTCGCAGGGGGGCGGAACCGGCGGGATATAAAAAAAATAACGACAAAGACGAAAAAATTCGAAAAAAAAAATAGACCAAAAAATGACTTGAAAAAAAGAAAAAAGCATATCGCCAGGGAGGTTAAGGGCTGATGGCAACCTGTCTTGTCAGAGATGGGAATAATATGCAAAGTCCAGCCTTGAAAAGTAGAGTAGGTACAAATAAACAAGGGTAGAGATGTACCAATACTAGTAATGGTATCGGTGCCAATACTGGGCATTTTCATGAGTTCATGAACTCACATCTCAGACGTCCGTCTCGCTCGGCGTGGAGCTCCGCCTCCCCGCTGGTGACGTCACGCAGCACCGCCCTCCTAGTCCACTTAGGCCATGGATTTCAATTGCACAGCGTTCGTGAAGTGAAGTGAACGCCATTCCCTTCCCTCCTCCACCGAACCCCAACAGCAGTTGTAACTGCTCCACTTCAGAGGGAATTCCCTTTACAACTACCCCACAGGACTCTTGCTGGCCGTTTCCCTATGCACCCTCTCAGAACTACTGCTGGCTAAACCTCTGTTCCCTCTCTCTCTGCCAAGATTACATCCATGTTAACCCATCTCAAAGGGGCTATCAGTTGCTCTCCGACCTGCATGGACAAACCATCCCTGTGAGATCCTTATTTTTCCCATACTGCAACTACCACCGTGCCTGGCTGTTAACCCTTTATCTCCGCAATCCAAAATACCAAAACTACCACGGTGCCTGGTTGTTAACCCTTCATCTCCGCAATCCAAGATACCGAAACTACCATCATGCCTGGCTGTTAACCCTTCATCTCCGCATTTGAAGATACTTAAACTGCCATCCTGCCTGGCTGTTAACCCTTCATCTCCGCAATCCACTGAAACTATTCGGACTTCCATTGTGTTACACCTGAACTGCAAGTATTTATAACTTGTCTACTTTTATTTTGCTCATCGTGATTCAACAGAAGTGAAGTAACTTCCCAGTATACTTGTGGTTAATACCGTGAACTTCCAATTATACCTATTATGTATAAGCCAATGCTCCTGGTCAACCCCTACTGCTACGGTAATTAAACTTACTTACCTTCTCACATCCTAAGCTGAGATCCATTAATGTAAGACTTCCCTCGCTGAGTGTTACACCCTGGTGAGACCGCTCGCAGCCCTGGTGAGACCGCACGCAGTCCTGGTGAGAACTGTACAGCCCGGGTGGGAGCGCACGGCCATGGTGAGAACCGTACAGTCCTGGTGAGACCGCACGGCCATGGTGAGACCGTACAGCCATGGTGAGACCCGCATGCATCTCTGGCAAGACCCTCACGCAGTCCTGGTGAGACAGTGCACAGCCCTGATGAAACCCTCACGCAGCCCTGGTGAGACAGTGCAAAACCATGTTGAGACCCGGCACAGCCCTGGTGAGACCACACAGCCATGGTGGGACTCATACAGCCACGGTCAGACCCCGCACAGCCTTCTGTGCTCCCACACAGCCTCATGAGACCCTGCACAGTCCTAGTCAGCCCCCAATCAGCTTCCTGAGACACTGCATAGCCCTCGTCAGACCACGCACAGCCACATGAGATGCTGCATAGCCCTGGTGAGCAACACAGTGTATGTAGCTTCATATTATTCTGTATTGCTGTATAATGTATTGATGGGATGTGTAGTCCTCTATTGCCCGTGGCATACTGCATTACTGTACAATGGATTGCTGGAATTTGTAGTCCTTTATAGCTGGTGGTATTCTACAATGCTGTATAATGGATTTCTGGGTTTTTAGTTTTTTCTAGCTGGTGGTATTCTGCATTGCTGTATACTATATTGCTGGGATTTGTAGTCCTCTATAGCTTGTGGTATTCTGCATTGATGTACAATGTATTGCTGGGATTGGTAGTCCTCTATAGCTTGTGTATTCTGCATTGTTGTACAATGTATTGCTGAGATTTGTAGTCATCACTACTTGGTGGCATTCTGAATTGCTGTATAATGTACTGCTGGGATTTGTAGTACAGCTGGAGTCAGTGGAAAAACTACCAGGGTAGCAGCATTTGCATAATCTTCCCAATACTGGGAGCTGGTGTGGTACACTGCCGTCTATAAGCATGCCATCTGATGACTTTGGGTCACAGGTACTGTAATACAGTAAATATACTCATGTGGTCCAAAAGAGAAGTCAAACCAAAAAAAGGGGTTGGCTTTATTCCTTTTTTTAGGGCCTGTTCAAACTAGCCCACTCGCTAAAATGCTCTTTATGAGCAGGCTAGTGCATTCTGACAGGTCCGGTGGATGTGCACAGTAGACTGTAGTCCATTGCATGTTTTTTACAGTGCACCACACTGACTGTCACACTATTGTGATGTGAACGGGATACACATAAAACAATTGTTTTCTATGTGCCCCAGCAGTGACAGTTGCTGAAAAACTCCAGTCGCTGCATATACTGTAAATGGGCACTAAATAAAATCCGGAAATTGTCAAATTATGAACTGTTCACAACTATCATACTGTACAGAGAAAACAAACTAACTCTGAAATACTAGATTGGAGGCATAAATATAACATGTAATGTCCTTATTCTTCAAGCAAGCACATTCCTTAACTGGATGTCAGTCACACAGAAATCTGGTAAGCAATAGGCTTTGTGTCTCAGTCCTGCAGACACTGCTGATCCTGCCACTGTGTGACAGGCTGCAGTGATGAAGCCATTACATTAGAGGGAAAAACGAAAGGTCCCCCCTCCCTTTTGCTCCCTACTGGCCACCCTGCTTTGTGATCACAGAAAAAAAACACATAACCTAAGCAAGAGATCAAGAGGACCTTCCAGCCTGGCTCTCTCTGTTATATGAGACACATAAATCAAATCTGCATTTAGAGGGTGACAGGTTCAAGGTAAAGAAAAAAAAATGTATAGATAGGAGAATATGTGCAACAATTTTCAAATAGCCTTTCTGCAATAGTGAAGCAGTCACATAAACAAATGTATACCTTTCTTGCACTGAAAAGCTTAATTATAGATTTATTGCAGGGTCAATAACATCTTGTAGGAAATAGGGAGTACATCACGATCCATGGACAGGAACTTTAATGCTGCATTCTATTACTAGGACCCACGTGTATTGACAGGATGAAAGGGGTTACTACTGCCTTTTATTCCTCCATCAAATATAATCCTTTTCTCATTGGATGTTGCCAAGACGCCTGCATCCATCCTCTGATCCGTGGTCCAGCCTCCAGCCAAAGCTCAGACACATTTCAGTGTATAGGAATACTGCTGCTCGGAGTGGACTCTGCACATCTGCCTGCTTTTCATTCACAATGTTGTTGTTTTTTTTCATTTTGCTGAGGATTTGATACCATTTATCATGCATGCAAGAGAAGCACCTGACACTAAACATTTCCTGTAGATGAGTGCCGGAGTCAGGCTTCATTGTGCTGTTCGGGATTACCGGGAGCTTGCATTGTGAAGCTGTCCATGGTGCTGAATTAAGTGCCCTGCTGATTTGTACTACCTGCTCCACTCATCTGTCACTTTGATGATTTTCATTTCACAGCCCATCACAACCAAACATGGCAAGGATAAGATGTATCCTAACTGCTGTTTCGGGTTTTTACTTCTGGGAAGCTGCACTTTTACTAAGGTATGTGTTATGATCATGTTATGCCTTAAAACCGTTTACGTGCACATTCATAATCGCGCTCCTGCAGCTGCATTTTCATTCTGTGCAACCTGTAGTCATCATCATGAGCTTATATAAATGTATACAGCAATGCAATGTGTACTTTCCTCTATAGGAGGAACCAGTACATAATATGTTATTCATTTATGTATTTATTTATCTTTGTTTGATTAAAAACTATAATGGTGTCAGATATTAATATCCATGTCATTTGTGATTAAGAGCATAATAAGATACAAGTTTAAGCAAATTGGTCAGATTTAAAGTTTGTTGTGGTATTTGTTCTATACAATGTACTATTGTGTTTCACAATAAATTTCAATGTTTCTGCAGCAATTCAGGTAGTGTTAATGTAGTCATTTGAAATCTCTGCTTCTCTGCTCTCCATCCCTGTTCTTTCTTTCTTTCTTTCTTTCTTTCTTTCTTTCTTTCTTTCTTTCTTTCTTTCTTTCTTTCTTTCTTTCTTTCTTTCTCCCTCTCTACCACTTCCTTTCTCCTTTACACACACACACACACACATACCGACATACACACACCGACACACACACATACCAACACACAGTCTCATTTACTCTTGGTGGTAGTAAGAGCAGTAATAGCAACACTTTAATGGACATCAATAAGGTATGGAATGAAGTCTCATCAGGGTGTAAAGGAAAATGGCTATCTAGATTGATATTTCCTTGATTTACGTTTGCCTCGAAAATAGTCCATGCAGGACAGTATTAAATCAATATCTTGGCCATGATTAAAAGGGCACTTAGCTAAACATTTTTTTTTCAAAGCTAGCTATCCAATTGAGTTTAATTAGAGTGGATCACTTCTGTATGATTGACAAGCTGTAAAGCTTGGTGTACTTTGAGAGGAGTACATTGAGTATGTTATATCTTATCATTCTAGACAATATTGTTTTAATCACATGAGAGATTTATTATGTATATTATGTGTATTTTTGAAACTGTGTGTAACAAAACATTTTGTCATGCAAGTCATATATAGTACATAGTATAAAAAAAACTAAACCTCTAATGACCTGTACTTTAATCTTAAAAGAGATTTTCAATGCAGAGTTCTTAATTTCTATTTTCCAGTGATACTTATGAATAATTAATGGGCAATGAGTTATGGTCCCTGGGGCTTTATAATCTAATTCCCTACCAGGAGTAAACTGGTAACACAGATTGTTCAAGGTCACAAAGAAATTTTACTCTGAAGCTACACTTTTTACTCCTTAATTCCTGAAACCATCCATGGCGTGCATTGCTATTGATTTTGTATATGTCAAAGGCTACATTCTTCAAGAATTAATTTTTCAATTAAAAATCAAATCTATATTTCCATTGCATTTAATAGCTTCTTTTGAAGTGATACTGTCTTTGTATTAAATAATATAGACATCAAAGCATCTAACTCTTTATTTTTCAGTTGTTCATTTGCTGATATGTTTCTTATTTACGTAAAAAATGTGATAAAGGAACTTGACAGTATGAAGCTGGTGCTGTAAAGTTTAAGCTACATGATTTCGATTTCACATTTACATTTTTTTTAACATCCCCATACATGTTAGAGCTTTTACTACAATAGGTTATGACAAATGTAAATCAGCAGTCATAGTTAAGAGCTAAGACACAGAACATTTATAATGTTGTGAATTCTGCAAAAACCATTAAATCTTGGGGTTTTTGTGTTTTTTTTCACAATATCTTAATTAACCTTATGTCTAACAATGACATATTTATCTAAGCATGGGCCATTTTCTGTACTACATTTTGGCACTTGTGGTCTAAAACTAATTTTAGACACTAAAACATACCAAGCCACCAAAGAGCAAGGTTCTATTCATAGTTGTAAAGCTATCACCAAGAATACTTTATTGGAGGCAATGATACCGAACAAACATAATGGTTGCAGGGGGCTACTTTCATATTAATTTTGGATTTAAATATGAAAGTGATGACATCTTCAAACTGGATAAGTCAAGGCAGTGTTTTCTCAAAGAGTGAAATAGGTGCACCATTGCTCCATGTTGGGCCAGTGGAAATATAAACTATTTTTAGAAGTTTGGAATTAAAATAAAACTGGACCCTTCTTATTTATTACTGAGTACTGATTTATGGATGATCACAGGTCTTTGTTGTTACCTGTCCTTCAGCTAGCTGTGCACGTTAAAGACATGTCAAACATAATTCACCTGTAATGTTTTTGGAATACTGCATCTTGTGCATGACTAGAATATAATGAGTTTTCAAGCTTAAAGCTGCATCAAATACAGTATCATATAGCATCCAATTAAAAAATCAGTGATCTGACTACAGTAGGCTAAACCTGATTGATCTTTACGGTTTCTTGCACTTTGGATACCTTTTCTGCTTTCTCCATTGTGTTGTTTTGTGTGTGTGTTGTGTGTGTGTGTGTGTATATGAGCCTTCAAACAAATGAGGCATACAAGAATATATCTACACACAAAAAAAGCAATAAAGACAAAAAGAGTCCCAGGAAAAAACAAAAGGAAACAATGGTGATTGTGCAAGAAAATTCCTCAGATGATTCGCAGCCAATCTGCATGAAACTCTCAGGTAAGGATAATCACACAATGCAGGCAGACCTTCACCTCCACCCAGTGAGTGATAACAAGTGAGTGCTCACCTGGGGAGGTAGACCCACAGAGCTAGGTCAAATGCGCTTTTTCCCTTCTTAATGAGGGAGGGAAGCCCATGCACAGAAAAGGCGATAAGGTCTCCTCAGATCACAGCATAAATCCATGAGGAAAGAGAAAAAGGACAAGGACATAGTGCATAACATCCAATAAAATACAATTTATTAAATTAAAAATGCGTACTCACAATGGTGTAAACACTACAGGCATTGTGTATTGCTGGATCAAACCAGCAAGGCAAATGGAAGCAAAGCGTTGAAAAAAACCTGTTCGTCCGGCTCAGCTCAGTGCAGTGACATCAGAAGCTCTGCCCTACGTACGTTACATCAAAACATGTGACTTCATCAGACCCCTGATGAAGTCACGTGTTTTGATGTAACGTACGTAGGGCAATAAAGCAATAAAGACAAAAAGAGTCCCAGGAAAAAACCAAAAGGAAACAATGGTGATTGTGCAAGAAAATGCCTCAGATGATTCACAGCCAATTTGCATGTAACTCTCAGGTAAGGATAATCACACAATGCAGGCACACCTTCACCTCCACCCAGTGAGTGAACAGGTTTTTTTCAAGTCAGGAACATGAATGGGTAAGCAGCACATTGGGCGGGAACTTTTTATTTAATCTATTTAACTTTAGTAAAAGTCCCTTTATTGAGTCAGAGGAATATTGAAATATACTCTATCAGGTATTATTTCTGCTTGTTGAAAATGTAAACATGATGCAAAGGCAATTATAAAACTATTGCAAGCTGTCACAGAAATTGTATAGCTGGGTGCAACGTACTGAGGAACAACAGTCATAGATGCAAAAATAATGCAAAACTCTTGATGTCCACAAAATAGGTCCCTTATTAAGTTTACACTTGCCTTTATAAATCTCCCACTATGTTATTATTGGCTTGCAGCACAAAACTGTTTTTCATATTTATTTTTCATTTTTTAAAATACATATTATTAACAAATACGATTTAAATGCGGTAATTTCCTAAGGTCTTTATATGTATTAAAACTACACAGTTTAATGACTAACAGATAATTATCTATATATTCGAATTATATCAGGTTTGAAAGCATCAGAATGTTTTATTTAACTTTGAATTAAAACATTTTAAAATGATGATGCTCAACATTATCTCAGACGTTAACCCTGTTTAATGAATTAACTACTCAAGTGGTTAATTTTACCATTGTCCCAGGACTCATGCACCCAACTCCATGGAATCCAGAGAGAATTACCAGTAGATGAGGGAATTCCAGGAAATCCCCCACCTTGTCATGCATGATATCATAAGTGAGTGGGCACTCTTCAGGATTTTCTGCCAATGTTTTTTGATTGTTTAAGATGTTTCTGATGCTGATGATTGTTCTAAACTATTTTAACAGTAGGAAATATTTTTGTGAACCAGGAAAGGTATATCAAGGACCTATTTACTAGTTAAGTGATGGGGAGCATGGAGTAAAGAACCTGAGGAAAAAAAAAAACAAGTCATATCACTCCCTTTTTTCCCACAGTGCGAATCGGATCAAAAACACTAGTGAAAAAGAAAACGGGACTTTAGGTAAGGGGGTTCATCTTAGGCCAGAGCTATGCCGTCTTAGAAAAAGTGTCAACGGTGGGGATATATAGGTGAGAACTGTCAAACATAGTGACGTGATGAGGCGAGGTGAAGTCCTCCGTCTGTCCCATCCGTATGGTGAAGTAATGTAGGCGATACACAAGCCAGAACTAGGGGTACCCAACAGCGGGCACAAACTTCCACTTCAAAATGACGAGGCAGATAAAAAGAAAACCACGAAAAATAAACAAGACGTGTTGCACCCTCTAACACGTTACATCGCCGGCCAAGAGCCACAGAGACAAGCCGCCTCGTTCAGGGTCGGGGATCCGACTTCAGATCATCATTTTTCACGGCGGTCTCGGTGGATTCAGGTGGGCTCTCCCAGTGTGGAGGTTGGAGGTGGAGAGGATCGTCGTTATTGCTTGCTTCCAGAGTGGGAACGTTGATCAGAGCCCGCCACATCAGCCGGTTCCAGAAACTGTAAGGCATCTTGAGGCGATGTAAAAGTGTGACGAGTCCCGTCCCCTGATTGGATACTCAGAGTCGCCGGGTAGATCAGGGAGAAACGCAGTTTGCTTTGGTATAGCATCTTGCAGATCTCGGAGAAAGCCTTCCGCTTGCGGCTTACTTCAGCTGAATAGTCAGCAAAGAGAAGGATGTTGTGGCCGTCAAAACGAAAGTTCGATCCATTGCGATAAGCCTTGAGGATGTCTACTTTATCCACATATGACAGGTATTTCACTATT